GAGAGAGAGAGAGAGAGAGAGAGAGAGAGAGAGAGAGAGCATGTATAAATCATATAGGGAAACATGGGTAAAGAATGGAAGTGTGTTGGGGTTGCCAGGGTCAGGAAAGACTTATCGTAGACATTTAAGTTGGCTCTTAACAGTAAGAAGAGACCTTCCAGATCTACAAAAGGGAAAGGGCCTCCCAGCCAGCTGGAACACGAGGCTGAAGACATGGTGTATGAGATACATGGCACCTGTGTTCCATGGGACTGGAAGCTCGGGCGAGAGAACAGGAGAAATGAGGAAGTGCCCTGGACAAGGCCATGAAGTTCTCTGCCTTTTGAGCCAAGGAGTTTAGAACTCACCCTCTAAGAGTTAGGAGGTCTGACTGAGGGTTTCGATAGATAACTGTAAATGTGAAGGAAACTGAGAGGGAGAAGCCACGGCTGGATAGAAGGGAGTTATGTCCAAGCCTAGCCCTATGCTGCTGTTGCATTTGTTAACTCTCTGCCATAATAAGACTTCCCCTAATTGAATTGAAATAGACATTGGTTGGCCTCTGGACAACCAATATGGGTTCCTGGACTCCTCTGCAGTCAAAGCCAAGATATTCTGCCTCTCCTCCCCGACCCTCTAAGGACACCATTTTTTCCACTACGGACTTTTGCAGGGTGGCTCTACAGTGTGCTGGAGAGGTGCACTGTGCAAGACTCAGGAGGACACAGATGATGCCCTCAGGACCAGGATGATCACATGCAGCTACACCCTGTCTTCTGGGAGCCCACCTTTGCTGGTATAACTGCTTTAGAACTGGAGCTTGAATTATGACCTAAGTCTTGGGGATGTGGGTATATGCTGAGAAAAACTGTGTGTTTTCTCACCTTTTAAACTCTTTAACAGTTTTAGACTCTACTTAATATCTAGAAGGAATTGAGCAAATAATTCAGTGAAGGACAGTCTCTGACGACAGCTACTTTAAGGGCCTAGCGTTTACCTGGTCATCAATTTGTGCAGTTGAAGAAATGGGAAGGAAATTTGGGGCTTTTAATTTCTGAAAACTTTAAATGCCCAAGAGCAACAGACTCTGAAATTGGAAATTAATTCTTTTTCAAAATTATCAGTAACTCCAGACATTAATTTTCTTAGGATGGTATCCTTTACTATATCCCAGGATATTTAATAACAGGAGGACTTTGATAGTCTTATGGAGTATTTCTAAGTTGTTTCTTAGAGTATCTTCATGGATTGTTTCATCTTACTGCAGAACCTCTGACAGGGTCTGCTTGACAACACACTGGGGCATAAATTTGGCATGGGGAAGAGAATACAGGGTCATTTTTTCAGGTGTGGGGCTGAACTCCAATCTACTTCAGAACCTTCTGGGGGGAAAAACTGTGCTAATCTTAATGATCTTAGGAAGAGCCACAAAGAAACAACGATTAGAACCAGCTCCAATACAGGTGTTTTCATAGTATGTGTTAGTTTTTTTTGTCCCTCGACAACATACCTGAGATAATCAACTTAAAAGGAGGAAAGGTTTATTTTGGATTCTGGTTTCAAAGATTTCAGTCCGAGGTTGCTCGGCCTTGTTGCTTTGAGCCTATAGCGAGGAAGAACATCATGGCAGAAGAACAAAGCAAAGAAGGCTGTTCCCCTCATAGTGGTAGAGAAATGAAGTTAGGTGGAGCCACCTCTTTTCTGCTGATTCCCTGTTTTCTTTGCATAGAAAGTCAGTTAGGGTCACAGTCCTGACCCTCTCTGCTGCCTCACCACTGAACCCCACAGGAATATCTGAACCCATCAGGGGGGTTTGGTGACAAGAAGCTGGCTTGAGACTATATAGTACCCAGCCCCTCCTTTTCTCCTTAATTTTGGTAGCCAGCTTCCTGCAAGAGTCACAGTTTTGTGATATTCCTCCCAATTTTGCAGAGGGTAACAACTGGGAGTAAGATTCCACTTATTTCATAAAACCCTGCTGAGTCGAGTCGTCCCATGGAGGAAGCCCTTCCTGAAACCTCAAATGAAGCAGGACGGATCCTCTTCCGCTATTCATCTCTACATCGTTCATATTCTGCATTTTTTGGCACATTGCAGAATAATATATCTGCTCACATGTCTGTCTCCTCCACTTGACTGACAGCTCCTGGGAGCTTTCACTCCTCAAGTTAAGTCTTTAATTCTGCACATCTCCAGTGCCAGGGGCAATGGCTGCCAAATAACCTCATGAAATGAATGTGATGTTGATTTTAGTAGCAATTGCTCAGTGAAATACACAATTCACTATGTACCACGGTTATCTTACGTTGAGTCAACTCTTTCAAAAACACGTTATAGAATTATGAATGAATGGCAGAATTGGCATGATTTTGCTTATATGTCTACCTATAGAGTTGAATTAGGCTAGCTTTTCTAAAAGGTGACTTTATTATCATATCTAAGAAACAATGTAAAAGGAATCAAATATCCCATTTACCACAGAAGATCTCTTTATTAGACACCTGTCAATTTCATATTCCAAAGCTATTTTTTTTTGTTGGCCAGTTACTAGAAGTAGGAAAAGCTATAAATTAAGGGTAATTGCTATCCCAAACAGGAAAAGAAGAATAGACTTAAACATAATATCTTTAGGGAAAAAAGATATTTTATTATGAAGTTAGAAATTACCTTACTGGTTTTGATGTTGCTGTTTCTGTCCTAAGTGACTTGAAGAAATTCTGACAATTACAAGCTGTTACATGACATTATAAAATTACACTGATAGAAAATTCAGCCAACTCTCCTCCTAGCAAGACCACACCCAGGACATCCAAGATGAATTGAAATTTGTAGTTTATATGTGAACTGATTATTTTTAGTATTTTAAGAAAAGGAAATTCCATATCTTCTATTTTATCTAGAATTACTCAAAGAGATAAAAGAGAAGTCAATTTGTGAATGAATTATGTCAAGCACAGTGCTGAACCCTCTAATATGAATTACTTTTAGGCTCAAAATAGCCATGCAAAGCAAACATTATTATGTTATTTGTTTTTAATAATTGGAGTGATAAGAAACCAGGAAGATAAAGAAATTTGATAGCAAAATTGAGTTTGAGTCACCATACTGTCAGGCTCTAAAGCTTATTACCTTTAAGTAAAACAAAGGGAACTCTTGAAGTCTTAAATATCAGTTCCAGGCCATTCTGGTCATTTTGGTCTCATTTTAGAAAAGAAGAATTCACCCTGAGTTGACATTCCTGTTATCTCCAGAGTTTCATGAACTCCCTTCAATCTGACCACTGCCCCAATATTTTATTAAAACAGTTTTCATAAAATGGAATGAGTTTGTACTTCAAACCTTTCTTGGCCTCTAATTTGTAAATTTCATTGCATGGATCACCATCTTTGGAAAAGAATCTTCCCCTTGACTCCAATGACATTACACCATTCCTGATTTTCATCCTGCTTTTGTAGTTCATTTATTTCTTTTCCTGCCACCTCCAAGTGGGTACCTTTTCTGGAAACTGAGAGCAGTTCCACACTGTCTAAGAAACCAGTACTTCTTTTGATTTAAGGAATGCTTAATTGCTGTTTCCTCTATTCATGGAGCTATCTCCTTATAGCAGCTTGGTCCCATTCTCTACACACTTCAATCCCAGATGCCTGTCACCAAAACCACCAATCCCTTCTTAAGAATACTTCTTTTTTTTTTTTTTTTTTGGTGTCCTAGTTATGGTGCTTATCACAGTGAAAAAATAAGGACTTGTGTTTGTATTTCATCTATGACTTTTCCTTCCCTTTATTTTATAACAAGTTCCTTTAAAATGTAAGACAATCCTAGAACTTATAAATTTTTCTTGCACCTGTCTTGCTCTACCTGATTCCACCCTCTTCTCACCTAAGAGTGAATTCTCTCTCCCAGGAGCCTTCCCAATCCCCTCTCCTTCCAATCCACCCTGAATGCTTATTCTCAGTTACTCTTTCTTAAAAACTGCTCTCATCAGATTGCTGACTCATTGGAAAACTTTCAACCTGTTTGTATTTGCAGCTGCATAAAATTTAAATTCTTTAGTTTGACTTCCAAGAACCTTTGTAATCTGTGTTTTCTCTACTTTAAGCAATCTCATTTCTTGTTACTTTAGCAATATTCTGCTCCAATAAAGCCAACCTTTTTGCTCTGTAAATAAAATACATCTTTAAATAAAATGCACATTCCAATTTTATGCCATTTTTTTAATGTTCACCTTGCCTAGAATTCTCTCTTGACTCAAGTAAGATTTTCCTCACTCTACGAAGTTTCTCTTTTTGTAGTGCTTGAACCCAGGACCTTGCACATGCTGGGCAAGTGCTCTACCACTGAGCTATGCCCTCAGTCCCTTCCCTTTTTCTTAAACTTGTACCTTATTCCAAGCCTGCACCTAATGCATTAATTAACCCTTTGATGGTTATTATCCTGAACTAACTGATCAAGGTAGATTTGCATATGCTATCCCTTAATTTTCCAATCAGACTTAAGATCACCATGGAAAGAAATCTTGCCATTGATGTTGATTTTCCCTTTAGAGTATATATATTGACGAATGCTACTTAACACTAGTAATGTGAATTTATATACCCTGATACATACAATAATTTAAAACTAGAAAGTCATTTAAAAATTAACAGAGCAGTCTCTTGTTTTACTTTTTAAAAAAGGAATATAAAACTGTTTATTGACCACTGGTCAACAGTATTTACAATAAAGTAAACAATATAGTTGGGTAACATTCTGATTACTACAAAGTCATTTTCCTGGCTTGTATTGAACCAATATTCCAAGTACTGAAAAGATTGAGTCTATGTGTAAGGAATGAGTTGGGGGAAAAGATAAAGCCATGCAGGTCAATAATTTAGACTGTAAAAATTTGCTCACCTATTTATGTGAGCAGGTTGTAGATTGCCAACATCTCTAGTCATCTGATTAGGTTTCCACAAGCCAAATCTCATGACATTCCATGAATCATGATGTTTTACACACAGATTTCAACTTTTTCAAAAAGGAATGGCTAACTAGAGGAACCCTTAAATGTCCACGTAAGTCTTGCTTAGCTAATTAAATTAGGATTTGTCTAGTTTTCTTGTCTTGGAGAAGTTGTTAGTAGTGATAGTATTTTTCCTTTCCAGAGTTTTGCAAATAAAACTGTTGCCTTTATGTGACTATAGATGTAGATTTGGTGTGGCTTCTTTTAATTATCCAATTTAAACTGCCCAATTGACTACAGAATCATTTATTTAAGCTGAAGGGTTAGGGCTTCAGGGAAAAATTTCAATTAATTTGAAGTGTCTTATTTCTTGGTTTACTTTTTTTGATAGGGAGGTACTGGGGATTGAATTCAGGGGCACTCAACCACTAAGCCACATCCCCAGCCCTATTTTGTATTTTATTTAGAGACAGGGTCTCACTGAGATGCTTAGAGCCTTGCTTTTGCTGAGACTGTCTTTGAACTCGAGATCCTCCTGCCTCAGCATCTGGAGCCGCTGGGATTACAGGTGTGGGCCACTGCACCTGGCTCTTGGTTTACTTTTAATGTTATTTGAAAACTAAGATATTTTTTCTACGTAAAAGTAATAATAGAAGTAAGTCTAAAAACTTAAGAAATAGACAAATTAAGGGATGATTACTTGCACTGCAGACACTGTCATTTATTTTAGAATTCACCAAAGGCTCTTTGAGTATCTCTCTCCATACAATAAATCTTCCCATAGATCACCTCTTGATGAAGAGGGAACTGAGTCTCAAAGCAATTATAAAAGCCACACAGAATTTCTGAGTCATCCATATTAAAGATTAACTTGATATGAGGATGTAGCATCTGTAATATTATATATTGCATCATTGAAGAATAATTCCTTGCAAAAAGCAGTAGTACTCACCATATCCAAGACTTTCTAAAGCTTCAATTGGAATATGGTATCCTAAAGCCTGGGATTCCTTCACACTGCTGTGATATAATAATCTTACCTTGACATAATCATAAAGGCACTGTTGTGAATTGGTCATTGTCTCCAGAGCAAACGTATTGAAGGTGAGTTGAATGAGTTTGTTTACAGGTGCTATTATGAACCATGTGCAGCTTAAGCCTTTGTCATATTTTCCATTTGAATCAGAATCAGGAGAGACAAAGGTACCATTGGAAACTGTCAGATAACCGCCACATCCGTGTTGCGGCCCTGTGAAAACAAAGACGTCACTGTGCAGACCAAGCAGAAGAAATTTTGAATTTTATGAGAAAATTTTGTTTTGTTATTTATTTTCGTGGTGCTGGCGATTAAACCCAGGGGATTTCTACCACTGAGCCACACTCCCAGCTTTTGTCATACATATTTTCTTATTCTTTTAAGACAGGGTCTTGCTAAATCACCCAAGCTGGCTTGGAAGTTGCAATCTTCCTGCCTTGGCCTCCAGAGAAGCTGGGATTATAGGAATGCGTCCCCAAGGAAGGTTTTAAAAAGAGCATAGCTTCCATTTTTCTGTCACACTTTTATGAACATTATCATGGAGCTTCTGCAGGCTGGGGCAGGTGTCTTTTCCCCTTGCCTGGTTCATTTCTCTACTTTCTTCTCTCTCCACTCCCACCATAGGCCCCGAGTCACCTCCTTATCAAGGGGATATGGTTACCTAGAAGAGTGATTAACCACATTTGTTTCTATGTACAGTTTTGGTACTCTTGTGTGATTTATTGAAGCATTTCCCAACCTTGAAAAATCCAATTTTGTACAAAATCAAGTATTTTGCACAATAAAACTGGTGGAGAATATGAACATATTTTATTTTTATGTTCCACTTTTATGAATACTGCAAGACACAAAACTGAATTTATGAAGGTTTACTCAACACCCCAAGATAACTGGATCTCAACAAATTTTTTTATTCAAAGAGTCTAATAAAAAGAGGCTGAGAAGCATTTCACACTATAGTCTAGGTTCTATTAAACATTAAACCACACTCTACCTTTTTTTTTTTTTTTTTTTTGGTGCTGGTACTAGGGATTGAACCCAGGGCCTTGTGCATGCTAGGCAAGCACTCTACTAACTCTACCAACTGAGCTACACCCACAGCCCCTAAACCATACACTATATGTGATTTTTTTTTCCCCAAATCAGGGACAAAGAGAAAGCTGAAGAAGAAGAAGAACTTCAACTAGGGAAAAATTGTCTACTTTGAAATAAAAATTTTCTAACAGAATAAAAATACAAAAGACAGAGAAAGAACACTCTAAAGATGACTAAACCACCTATTAGAGAAACATATAGAACAACATCTTTGGAATATTGGATTTAGTTTTGTCCACTCCACAACCTAAGAAAGTACCTCAGATATGATGCAGGAAAAGCTTACAATTTTAAAGGAAACAATGGGGAAGAATGTTGAGGTTTGGATATGAGGTGTCTCCCTGACCCTAGAGCTCCTGTGTTAAAGCAGGAAATGGAAGGACTCGTTTATGATAGCTGTAATATAATCAGTGATTAATTCATTTGATAGATTCATGATTTAAAAGGTCTACAGTCCTTGATGGTCACAGTGGGTGGGTAGGGTATGGCTGGAGGAGGTGGGTCACTGGGGGAATGTCCTTGGGGATTATATCTTGACTCCCTGGCTTCCCTCAACACCCTGTTCTCTTCCCCTCTTACTTTCTCTCTATGCTTGGTGGCACCCATAAGGTGAGCAGCTTTCCTCTGCCACACTCCGCAGTCACAATGCTCCATTTTGTCTCAGACCCAGAGCAATGGAGTCATCTGACCATGGACTGAACCTCTGAAACCCTGAGCCCCAAATAAACTCTTCCTCCTCTAGGTTATTCTTGTGCAGGTATTCTAGCCACAGTGATGGAACTGTCACTAACACAATGTACTGAACTCAAAACAGTCATAGTAGGAATAGAGATTAAGTTGGTGCTCAAAGGAACACCCATAAAGCTTGTAAACTACACAGATATAGGTCATTACCAATTCCAAAGTTAAATTTCATTGTGTTGGCCTTCTATCTCTCATTCCAGTTACTCATCTGATAACACTGAAGGGATTGTTTTCAACATTAGGGTGCACTAAGATTTTGTACTTGGATCTTGGCAAGGAAATATTAACAATGGCGGCCCTCCTCCATCCTGATCACAAATCCAAAGGAGGGCAAATGTACGGAGTTACTTTCAGCATAGGTGCATTCTTCAATAGGTCAGGTTGCCCTCTCCAAAGCTTCTAAGTCAGTTAAAACTGTAGAATATTTTCACAGTCACACATTTTCTAGAGTTAAAAGGTCCAGTCATTGAAATATACACATACAGTATTCACTCACAAAAATTACTCTGAAAGCTAAGTAATAAATGTAGCTGCACTACTATTTTGGAACCATGCCTGTGAACTACTGAAAGAACTGGAATTTAAACAGCTTTTATTCCATCATAGACTGTACTTAAGGAAACCATTGAAGCTTATTGGCATGCATAGCAGAACAATTACTTTAGGTATAATAAAATGGTGAGTTTATTTATTTATTAAATATTTTTTCATATTCAAGTAAGTATGTATAGGATTGAAGTGGGAAAAGATTAATGTTAGTCCATTAGAATTGACAACCAAGGAAATAATAATGATGTAATGTAGAGAGTAATCTATGTCTTTAGAGAAGCAGGCAAAAACTTGTAGTTTTGGAAAAAGAGAGAAGTTATTTCAGGCTATGTGGATCTAGAATATTCCAAGGAGGAGGTAACATTTGATTTTAAGGATAAGTAGAAAAAGATTAGGTAGGAAAAGGATTGAGATCAGCAATTCCAGGCTGAAATGTTCATAGGTCCAAAGGTTAAATGGATAAGAATTTATATTTTATGCATAGGAAGGCATAATTTTGTCTGAGAAAACAATAAAAAAACATGAAGAATAAAAATGAGGATGAGGATTAAGACATGAGGATCAGTTATTCCACAGAGGGTCTCGAATGCCCCATCATGGAATTTGGCCTTCAGACTTTATTCTGTGGATAATGGAGATCCACTTGAAATGTTTATCAGGAGAGTATTAGGAACAGAATATACTTTCTAGTCAAGTTTGATCTAAAAATTAATCTGTAGCAGTATTTTACATGTAAGGGAAAGGGACTGGAAGAGGCGAGACCAGTTAAGAGGATGTTGCCGCAGTGTGAGCTAGAGGTCACAAGGGACAAGACAGAGTGAGAGGTTTATATACTCTATTTTATTAGCCTATCAACTTTAAAAACCAAGTCTTGTTTTCTAGAAGTTCAAGCTATAGATTTTATTACTACTTGTTTATTAGTTGATGCCAACAAGTTAATAAGGTCAGTATGATAATCATACTTGGTCACAGTGATAATTAAAATTATGTCATAAGGTAGACACAGCCTCATTCCACAGAATCTCAGATCAAGGGTCCTTAAATTGTTGGCAAGCACCGTAATGGACTGAGTAGCAAATTGGCCTCTTTCTAATTCTTCAGTGCCTCCATGTTTAGTCTTCCTGCTTGCAGTGTTCCAGAAAGGACAAAGTTCATTTTTTCTGACCTCTCCACACCAGCCTTTGTCAAATGACTTGCTTTAGACAATGACTGTTAGTGGTCACGATGGAGGCAGAGGACTTACGCGGGCTTATCTTTTTTTTTTTTTTTTTTTTTGGCAAGGCATTTTGTGCTTCTATGATCCACTAAAAGACCTGACCCTGCTAACTGCTGGTCCGAAGTGAAAGTGGATTCATGTGAAGCAGACCTGAACCCAGTCTGAAAATTACAGCCATGCATGGCTAGCAGACAGACTGAAACCGAGGCAGGCAAGCTACTCTGCAGACCCATATGTGATAAAAATAAACACTTTTATTGTAAGCCAATAGCTTTTGGATGAGAAGGGTCAACCAGTACACAGACAAATGGCTTGTCAGAGTTATCAAATTATAATGTAGCACATTGCTTAATTCATAAACTATACACACAGAATAAAGATGGAAAATTAGCATCATCATCAGACAATTCTGGCCAAAATAGTCAAATAATCGAAGTCAAAACAATATTATACAAGTGAAGTGGTGTTCACGTGATGCTAGCAATGGTAATCACTGATTTCCCTACATTAGTATCTAAACATGGCGCAGCTGTTCCATGCGTCTGCTCCTCCTACAGCAAAATGGAAATTCAAGTGTATGTGTCTTTTGGGAAACATAAAGATCAATACTAACAAAAGGAGGCTGCTTCACCCAAAAGTGCTGCTGCCATGTTACTATTTTTGTATTTCAATGATAGCAGGATAATATAGAACTCTGTGACTATGAAAAAGAGTCTGGTACGTAAAATAAACACACACACACACACACACACACACACACACGTATTAACTGTACTGCTATTTTGTTCTTTTCTTTCCTTTTTTTCTTACTCCTCCTTTATTTCTTCTTGGTATTGGGTACTGAACCTAGGGCCTTGTGCATGCCAGGCAAGCACTCTTTATTGATATTCTGAAATTACCTCTTTTTACTGGTATAATGCATCTTAACCTTGATGTGCTTAGTGTCATAAATCCATCATCTTCCTCATCATTGCACATCTTTCTACCAGGCAGACAATGCTTATCCACCAGCATCTGCTTCATTAGTCAGGTTGTGACAGAGCCCCTCTGACAATATACCCTGTTCCCAGACCAAATCTCACTCTGATCTTCCCAAAGAGCAAATATGTCACTCAAAAGAGCTATTTCTTTAGAGGAAAATAAAAAATGTTTTGGCTACAAAACTACTGGAAATATAAACCTAGGAGAAGAAGTGAGATTCAGGTCCAGATCTACTTAATTAAAAATCAGTAAGAGAATCCTAAATTATTTTCCTCCAATGATTAAACCTCAGAGTGAAGTACAAACAAAGATCAATCTGATAAAGAAAGAAATAGTTCTATCTAAGAGAAAACACCTTGGAGGCTTTAGTGGAGTAAGCTACAATTTTAAGTAGTCACCTATTTGAAGAGCTGACATTTTTGTGGCTGATGCTGCATGCGGCTGACATTTATTGAGGTCTTTTAGATAGCATCTCTGTCTCTGGACAACTAGTACTTAGGTGGCTGATGGCTAGCTGGACTTACAGATAAACATGAGCCTGGCTTCAGGCACTTTGCTGTTTTCCAGCAATATCTATGATTCTGGGCCATCGTCTAAATATATAGCAGCAAAGCACAAAAAGCATAAT